TCTTGGCAGGGCTCGTAGCCCCCTCCCAGAGCCTGTATCCCCCCCACGTTGCTGCAGAGAGTACAGATAGCAAATTGCATCGGAGCCCAAAAGGGCCGCTGGCAGCAAAACAGGTTAAAAAAAGCTCTGGCACGCAAAGCCCCGGGGACCCCTCTGTGCCATCCAAACCAGGGGAAAAGCAAGGGGATGAGCACTCACAGCCGGCGTGATGGCAAAGACCTCCCAGCCCGAGCCCTGCAGCGAGACAAGCCTGGCTGCCAGCAGCTTCTTCCCTCCGGGGGCGTCCAGCTCGCTCTTCTCCAGCACTTGGTAGACGCTGACCTGGGGAAGGCAGCAAAGGGTGGTTACCACCATCCTGCCCGAGGGGGAAGACCCTGGACACAGATACTGGGGGAAAAAAAGGTGGGAGATGGGAGACTTGTCAGCTTGATTTGTCACAACCTGCAGGTGCCCTGGCTGGTGCATGCACAAACCAGAACGATATTTAAGAAACCACCGTGGTTAAATCACATCGTGATTCTCTGTGCAATGCGGTGACACTTCAATCATATGAATTTCACAGAGCAGAGCCGAGCTCCCGCTGCAGGCGAATGACCACAGCACGCCCGTGGCATCTCCAGACACAGGCTGGGGCACATCCCAATCCCCGTTCTGTCCCCATCCCTGTCCCCATCCCCCTCCTCACCTGGCAGAAGTGGTGCCTTTTGGGTCCATCGGTGGCCCTCGGCCAGAGGCGGAAGAGGTGCAACTCTGCTGTCAGGATCTTCTCGTTCTTGGCCACGCTGGAGAGGACAAAGAGGAACCGCATCTTCTCGCCATGAGCTGCAGCGAAGGACAGGTTGGGAAGCGGAGCCGAACCAGGGGCAGCACCTCTGCCAGCTGCGCTTGGCCCCTTCCCACAGCCCCATCCCCTGCACCACGGGGACCCCACACCCTTACTTTTATCCAAGAAGCTGCGGACTGTGTTGCCCTCCAGGATGTCGGGGTTCTTGGTGACACCATCTGCGTTGGCGACGGTGTTGAATAGATCCACCATGTACTGGGGCGGCTGCTTGAAGTGAGCGGGGGGGGGCGGAGGGTCTTCCATGCCAAAGACTTCCAAGA